GGGGGGGGGAGTGGGTTGTCGAAGGGGGTCTTGGATGACGCGGTGGGGGGCAGGGTCCCTTTCGATTGTCCACGGGGATATCCATTACTTTGAAGCCTGCATGGACGGAGGGTGTCACATCGCACTCCCACTCCCCGTCGACAGTGTGTTCCAGTCCATCGTCGTTCGGCGAGAGTACTCGTCGCACTTTCATCGAAAGGTTGTTGTGGCATCATTCCCAGCCACCGTCCACCGCGCTCAATAAATCATGAGCATGGGCCACTCATCCCCAAACGCATTTCGAGCGCGCGCATGGATTGTGAGCACTGCAGTGGACTGCTTTCTCGCCACGCTCTTGTCTGCCTTTCGTGCGTTGTTGTGCCGTCGCCTGCTCCCGCCGCGCAACTTGGTTAACGGGCACTGTCGTCATTGACCACGTACCCATCTGCGATGCGGGCCGTCTACCATCTCTGCCGTCCGCCAATCGTCTTGCCGTCATTCGTCATTGTCGCCCTGTTGTCACCAGCCGTCGTTCCTCGTCGCCGCCCTTGCCGCCATTCGTCGTCGTCGCCCTTGCAGTCATTCGTCGTCGCCCTGTCCGTCATTCGCCACCCTGTAATCCATTCGTGTAATCATAGCCGTCTGTTCCATTCTCTGTCTTCCATTCTCGCCGCCCTGCAATCATCCAACCGCCCCACGGTGTACTCGTCCGCAAGTTATGCGAACCACCAACCGCGATCGAAGGCGCTCGGATCCGCCATGTCTTCACTCGGAGGTGGACGGGGGAAGGCTGCCTTGAAGCAGATCGTGGAAGGCGCGGCCCCCGCGAAGAAGGGACGGCATCAAGCGAAGAGGCAGAGGAAGGTCGTCTAAGTCGTGCCCGCTGGCAGTGCGCAAGACGTTGTGGAGGAGGCTGTGGTGGAGGAAGAGATGACGAACGACGACGATGACTTTGAAGACGACGACGATGAACCACTGCAGAGGAAGGCGAGGGTCAGTTCCGCGGGGGGGGTTAGAATAAACGAGGGGGGGAAAGGGACACTGACCGCACGGCGTGGCGGTGGCGTTGCCACGACCAACCAACCAGTCTTTGTCGACGTGGCACGCGACGTGGCGCGCAACGTGGCA